TCTAGCTAATAAATCATCACACTAAAGCTTCATGTTAGCATTTCCAACCAACTCAATACATCAGCGCCGTTCTCATCACCACGTGAATAAACAAAAAATAAAATTTTCACTCGCGATGCCACAAATTTTTGGTACGGGAGAAACAATCAAACCACGCAGCGCCAAATCTTCTGATGCTTGCAATTTTGCAAACATGATGAATCATGTTTTCTTTCTTGATTCTAAAACTTCTCGGAAAGCGAAAAAACCACCACTTTCACACCTATAACCGTCCGGGAGGCAGAGTGCCAGCGCTGATCCGGCAAATGCAGCCGAAAACTATGAAAGAGAATGCACGCACAAAACAGAGAACAAACTATAGACACAACCGTATCCAAAGACGTTCGAAACTCGACTCTCAAAGGTTAATTTTCAAGAAAATGTGCATTTCAAATGAAAATGCATTAAATTTTTTTAAATAATGTTTAATCAAATCAAGGCCGGTATTATTCAATAGAAGCTCATAATGTACGGGTGTTTCATTAGGTTCATTAATTACTCAGAATTAATAAAATAAAGAAGATGCTACATGTTTTTTTTTTCAAAGTTACAAACGATACTCCTTTAGTTCAGTCGGTAAAGGCGCAGCTACAAAGCAAGTCCATGCTGGAGGCGAGTGAGTTCGATTCCCGTCCGGTCTATTAATTTTTCGGGTTGGAAAATTTATCTACTTCTTTGGGCACAGGTTGGTACAGGCATAGAAAGCTCTCAATTATAATGTGAAGGTACTTCAAAGAACACTAAGTTGGGAGCAGGCAAAAATCTAATATGCTATAAGCAATAAGTTTGAAGTGCCATGTAGTAGTATACAAACGGTATTTTTAGGCAAAGATTATAGTTTTTTTTTTTGCGCGGATTAGTATTTGAAGTCGCAGATTTCTTGCAACAGCCCTGAAAATGATTAACGTAGTAGTACGTAGTAGTAGTTCTACCTTAGTAGAACGGGGGCCGATTACTCGCGGGATGCTCGAGGTCAGGGGTAACAATCAATCATATTGTCGAGCAGTTTTGGGACGATCATCTGCCAGCGAAATAAAAAAAAATGAAGCAGATTTGTCAAGCATAAACATCGCCCTATTTTATTAAGGTTCTAGAAGAAAGAATCACATGATATTGCTCCGTGGTAAAGTTTGAGTGGTAGGAAACGGCCTTTTAAGCTGCTCGAATGATATGATCCTTTGAGAGGGGGCCTAAAGACAAGAAACACATGTGTCATCATTTTTAAGTGTTTATGTTTTTGTAATAACGTAACGAAAAAGTGTTTTTCGGAATTATGAAGATGGATATGAAGTAATGAAATTGGGTTGTTAGTGGAATGCATTAAAACATGCCGTTGCTGTCATGGATACAAACATAAATTAAGTGGAATCCAGGATCAATTTATCCTTTTTTGTGTGTTTTAGTAGACGTTATAATGATAATTATTTCTCGTATGTTACAAGAAGAGGTCGTAAAGTATGTGATAGACACATAAAACCTGTCAATAGTACTTTCAGAGCGTGACAATAAACGATTTTACGATTCGTGACCGCTCACTCTGAGTGATCGCATAAAGCCCGATTCAAAGTCAATTTAGACGCATTCAAGTAATCATAACTCAAGAATTAAACAACATACAGTTTTGATCAAAACGTCAAACAAAAGGGTATTTATTCAACTTTCAAACGATATATAAAAGATATTACATTAGTTATTAGTTATTACATTTCACCGTTTCGAGCGAACTGTCGCACTTTACTTGTGATCGATGCCATCATGGTCTGCACAGTCGCTGGTGACACTGTACCGGCGAACTTATTCCACTTTAAACGCATTTGTCACTTCTTTACCGCATCCTCGAAGTTTTCGCTTGACAATTGCCCAATATTTTTCGATCGGTCTGAACTCAGGGTAATTCCGAGGATTAATCTCTTTGGCGACGAAATTAGCATTGTTTGTAGCATACCATTCTAGTACCTCATAAGAGTAGTGGCAGCTAGCTAAATTCGGCCAAAACATAACGTTGGTCTTGTGTTGCCGAATTAAGGGTAAAATCCGCTTTTTCAGACACTCTTTGATGTAAACCTTCGACGTCTTGTGTGAGATGTGATGAAAACCTTGGTTTTAAGGCCACAACTGCAGATTCAAATTATTAGTTTCCGAGCAAACTTATCAGCAAAAACAAATTTATACCGGGAAGGGACATCCCCACGACCAGTTGCCAGGTAAAATTTTCGTCCGGGGATTTGTTTATAATCCATTTTGACATATGTTTCGTCATCCATTAAAATACAGCCATCAAATTTCGTCAAAACTCGTTCGTATAGTAATCGTGCTCGCTTTTTGGCCACTAAATTTTACTTTGACTATATGTTTTAGTATTACTTCTACGTGAAGTCAACGATTTACATAGTTGAAGATGCTAATTTCAAATAACAGACTGTAGTGGTAATTTTTATACGATAGATGGAGTAGATGAAAGCATAGAGTTGATAGTTCCGTTAGAGTACGGAAAACCTACGACTGGATGCCTTCCTTCAAATAACAACTGAAGTGCGGTAAAAAATCGGTAGAACTGTTTCAAACACACAGTTGGTACTTGAGCGGGTCGGTTTTCATCTCTTTTTGCCAGTGGTGGCGGGGGGGGGGGGGGGGGGGGACACCCCTCACCATCCCTCTCCAAAGGGGGAGTTTGGTAAAGAGAGATGAAAAAACCGATTTGTACCTTCCTTAAAAGTTGTCCTAGCTCGCTATTTTAATATCTATATACAATCTTCACACTGCCGTACTCAAACGGAACTATCAACTCTATGCTTTCATCTACTCCATGTATCGTATAAAAAATTACCACTACAGTCTGTTATTTGAAATTAGCATCTTCAACTACACTAAATTTTGTTTCAGGGAGCAATTCGGATGATTACTGGCACAAAAAGACTTATATCCTTCTCTTGAAAGGATGTTACGCACGGTGGAAATGTTGGAATCGTATTTCTTTGCCAAATTACGTATGGAGACACCTGGGTTGCTTTTCACGTACCTCAACACCTTTCTCCTCAGCTCTTTGTCCCTAGTGCCACTTTTATGATAGATGCACTGTGCTCTATCCAAACTCAGAGTATCCTTGTAACGTTTGATTACAAGGCTCACCGTTGACTTTGGCAATTTTAACACTTTTGCTATTTTTTAGGCAGACCACGAAGGGTTCTCTAGATGTTTGTGCACAATTAATTTTCTTTTCTCAAGTTCCATGATCCGTAATTTCGGGATGTGTCGATCAATCGAGAAAGACTTTTCACCAATTTCTTCGTCAATGAAACATCAACAAATGCCTGTCAAACGTTTTTTGTTCCAACCACCAGGGGCGCGGTGATGTTTTAAACCGTGCGTCCAGATTTACTTTGAATCGAGCTTTATGAATCATAAAATCGCTTGTGACGCTCTGAAAACGAAATTGACAGGGGTTTTGAGTCAAAAACACTATTTACGCCCTCTTTTCATAACTTACCAGTAATAATTATCATTATAACGTCTAATGATTTCATAATTCTGAAAAACAATTTTTATAGCAAGTGAGCGAAAGCAACCCTGCAATATGCTTTGTTCCTATGGCTCTGGCTCATTATCAACGACTCTCCCATATGGAGGATGTGCAATCGTTTTTTTTCTGGTTATATTGTTATTTGGATAAGTCATCTCCACTTAGTAGAACGTTAAGCCCTTGGGGAAGATCCCAGCTCGCGCCAATGCAACCGACCGTGTTAAGCATATTTGTGTACACTTGCAAGGTTCAGGGAATAAGCGACGGCATATGGAAGAGATGAACTAGCCTCAGGCTAAAAATCTCTAAAATAAAGATTAAAAAAAAAAAAAAAAAAAGACGGCATATGGTTTGCGTTGAGAGTGTTTGTATTTTTGTTTTCATGCTTTATTGCGGCCTATGGAGACTTCTATATCCTCCAAGGAGTAAAATATATATATATATATACAAAAGCAAATGGAAAATTAAATCTGGACCCAGCCAGACGAACAGTCAAATGAAATCAAACCGAATCGGCTGCAGGCCTAAACAGGATGGGAGGCAAAAACGTAGCGAGAATAGGGGGTCTTTGGAGTGGCAGCCCGGGATTTTATCGGGAAATAAGAAATATTAGTCTGCTTGAACTGTCGATATCCATTGCTGATTTCTTTGGCGATGAATCAGTTCGTTTACGGTGATAACTTGGCGGTTTTATGGAATTCGATCTAAAGATCATATATCAGCCTAACGTAGCTCAGTCTTCCGTACGATGTAAGTCGTTTCCAGTCGGCAAGATCGTAAAAGCGAAGGGATCGGAAGTGTTGCTCTTTTTTTTTGTGAGCCACACAACACAACACTCACTCAATACAACCAGCCGGGGTACAACAAAACGGGAATCGACGAGGGTGCTGTGCTGCCTCTCTCGGTTGGTGATGCTGGTGATGATGCCACCAAAGGAAGGAAGACTGTAGAAGAGTAGGTACATAGCAGACGAGAATGCCCGTACTTGCACGGTACATCGCCGCGGTTGATTGTTGGGTTGGAGGAAGCAATTTCCCCAATGATGATGCTCAGCTAAGCTAGCGGTCCCTCTGCTGCGTGTGCAACCAGAATTGGGTTCGTTCACACTCCGCCATATACATCATGATGGTGTAGCACTCGAGAGAACATTTTCTTAGTCGGTGCTATCCGATGATGATGCCTCGAAAGAGGGATTGGTTTAAGAAAATGTTAATCTAGTTTGTGCCGTGGAGCGAATCGGTCGCGCATCGCTGTAAGCTTTGTCATTGCTGCGTCGTTCGCGGTTACTCGCGGATTTTCTGGGGTTTTCCCTGTGTGTATTTATCATTTTCCCGTTAACGTTGTGGTTTTCCAGTTGTCGTTTATCGATATACAATATAAATCAGTGACCGTGTGAATAAATTGTAACGGTACGAACCTCTTTCCGTTCTTCCACTTCTAGATGACGGTGAAGGACACGTTGGAACGTTGTGCGAGATAGGCCGTTCCGGTTCGACTCATTCTCCGGAGAAGACAGTGGTAGTGAATTGGGACTCGGGTCATCGGACCAACTATCGAGTTGGTTATCAGAAGCAGTACGATCTGATAGTGGTGGACAATGCCCAGATCGGGGTGAAACATCCGAATATTATCTGTGACGGGTGTAACAAACCGGGAATCGCCGGCATTCGGTTCCGGTGTGCGGACTGTTCCAACTATGATCTTTGTGCCACATGCTACGGAAACGACGCCCACGATCTAGAACACTCGTTCATCCGGTACCAGACGGCGAATTCTGTTGGGTAAGTTGATTTATCATTTGCAGATGCATTATTTTACCGTGTTAGTGGGACACTGTTGATATGAGTGCTTGAGTAGTTTTGTTTGTTTAAGAGTTTTTAAGTCGGAATAGTGATAATTGCTGCTGTAAACTAGGTGTTTCTTTGAAAGGTCTTTAAACATAGTAGCGATAGCATGTTGAATTGCTTACTGTCGAAAATACGTGATCAAGGGCTGTGTCACTGAAGACAGCTGGAAATGTTACTAGGTATTAGCAGATTATATTTGTGAACATACTTGTTTGCCTACTGGATGAAAGTTTCGATTTCCGGTCCTGCCAATGATACTTTTTCATTTGGTATCAAAAATTACAATGATAAAACCTCGTCAACCATGTTACGACTATCGTTCGCCTTAAAGGCTGCGTTTTTCACCGTAGGCCATATTACACTTACGATCGGTCCATTATACTGCGTATAATCCTATCCCATATAGATTTTTGTCAATTTTGAGATAACACTATCCACTATAAATTGGCATCAATCCTCATATTATGTCACAAAACTACACACTTTGATTATGAAAAATGTGAAAACAACATCAAGTCAGTCTATCCCATCAAGTAAAGTATTCGCATATCAGTTGCAAGTTACAGTTCTGCTTTTTGAATTGTCATATATTTCGCTTATATTACAAAACATGCAAGCTTCATTGCAACTGATTTTAACATGAAATACTTATCAATTAATTTACTGTGATTTATCAAATAGTTACATGGGAATTGCAGTTCGTAACTTTGAGTGCCATTTTCTCAATGCCTACTTTTTCGATATGGGACTGATATGCGATTATAGGTAGTTTATCGGATGTTTTGATTTGTTTAAACGAGAGTTCCAGTCATTATGAATTTCTTCATGTACATACTTAAAAATAATTTTCTGTAATGGATATTACCGAAATAACAAGGAATCTACCTAATTTACTGAAGAATCAGCAAATGCTATAAGTGGGGTGAAAAGTTACCTCCTTGGGATTAATTTTTTGTTAATGCTTTTTTTTATTCAATATAGTCCCCTTTTAGCTCGATACACTTATTCCAGCGATTTTCCAACTTCATGATCCCGAAATACTGCAAAATACTCCTCCGCGGCGTCGATGATTTCCTCACGTGAGTTGATTTTTTTTTTATTGATGAGCCATCTTTTGAGGTTTGGGAAGAGATAATAGTCTGAGGGAGCCAAATCGGGTGAATACGGTGGATGCGGAAGCAATTGGAGCCGTAAGTCATTGATTGCAGTCGTGGTTGCGATGCTCTTGTGCGCCGGCGCATCGTCTTGCAAAAAAAAAAATGGGGTTGTGTACAAGACACGACCGCATGGTTTACGTAGAACTACGGTCAGCTGTGTAGTGAAATTGTCGTGCATTTTTCTAGATATTGATTTAAAATACAGTAGAAGTAACCTATGATTTCGGTCCTATGTACATATTTTGGATGTCCTACTTAGTCATTTTTTTTATTAAATTCAGGACCTCATAAAAATGCGAATACATATTCTATTACATTTGGTTCCTAAAATACAGTCAGATATGAGTAAGGTGAATCTTATTATTTATTATTATTTCTTGCGTGAGTCGCATCGCGTTGCGTCTACCCTGGCCGCCACCTAAGGCTTTCTTCAGGTGACTCATTGAAGCGTCCAACAATGACCGTCATGATGGCTGATATTCTCTATCACTTCAAGATTTCTAGGGCATCAATCTTGGACGGTTGTGACTTCACTCATGAAATTGAAACTCCTTGTGTAATGCACTGCAGCCAACGTGAAGTTCCAGTTTCTTTGTTATAAGTTTCGTAAGAGCTGATATTTGTGCTCTTGAAATTTTTATGTGGTATGGTAGAGAACTACTTCGGCCTAATCGCCCATTTTGGGCCTATCGAGCAGAAAACTTCAAATAAATCCATGATTGCACTGTTAACAAGTCAATTATGCGTTTGGTACGATACTTTAGTTAATAAGCTACCGAACGAAGTCAATGAGAACGCGTGGTATGAAGTTTTGCACCTATTATTCCCAAAAAACAAAAGAAGCGCTCCGACCGAATCAATTTTTATCTTCATCCGATAGGCCGAAGTGAATTCATTGGCGTTTCAATTACGTTTCAATGCGTTAGGCCGAGTTTAGAATCCGTAGGCCGAGTTTGGCGTCAAGAAGCAGTGTTAAGGCCCACGCACTTAGATCCGGATCGGATGCGTTGCGGCAAAGTGACAGCTAAATCTATTATCTAACTGTCAAATTTACGTCAACGCAACGCAAACGGATCTAATGTGGGTGGCCCTTTAGACTTATGACAATACCTCAACGATTGGTTTCTCTTTATCAAATCTTACGGTACGTACGGAAAGGTAAATAAATTTGGAAGCCATCAGTAATAATAACATTCCGTTTGGTGCTAAACTGCGCTAGATTAAGAAAGACTAAGTGCGGGTTGTGCTTAATAGGCCGGAAATGGGGTAGTTAACACTACTGAGATTGATCAGAAATAAGATTTCCTCAGCGATTCAACTTCAAAACGCTAAAAAAGAATGCACACACAAAAAAGGGAGTGCACAATTTTGCACCAATCTTATGCAACATTTCGTAGTTCCGGAGAACTTCGAGATTTGGGTGTAATTGCTATTGTAAAGAAATATGTCAATCGCTGATTTCTTGCGAATAAAAGCTCAATCTCGCGAACAATCTGTGGTGCCCAAAATCTGCTGCTTCCTCCATAACGAATTACTCGCCTCGAAATTCCAAATGACACAGGAATCATTCCTCTACATGAGTGTGTTGTTAGTTTTCTAGGCTGAGTTTTTATTCGCGGGAAATCAGTGATTGACGTGTTTGTGTACAAAAGCAGTTACGCCCAAATCCCAAATCACTCCGGAGTTGATCGGGATGATCTCGAATATATAATATCCCTCCAATAAGTTCTCGGCACATCTTTTATCTACCGATTGAGCTAAACAAAATTGCTAAATATTGCTGTTTTTTTTTAAAGATGTCGTTCGCGTTTTGTAGACGCACATGTATAATTTGTCATAAGAACACGGGGCACATCAGTAGTGGGAAAAAAAGTGACTTCTATATCTATCACAGATAACAAATTCGACAGTGAGCATTACACTGATGCAAAATTTGAAATTTTCACTCCACAGTGCTCAAACGGTTCTAAATTGGGCCCTGATTAGCCTCCCAAAATTTGAACTCATTTATTTAGAAACTGACTTGGCACAAACCATTTGAAGTTTATATGGAAATTACTATAGGAAAACAAAACTTTTTGTTCATTGTCTTCTAGCCTTTTTACATGTTGTACTATTAACAAATTCTATTGCTATTCTTATGGGAATTTTTATCAGCTACAACTTTGCAGAAAATCATTAGCGTTAATAACTAGAGCACATAACCGTTTATTGTAAATGTCGTATTAGATGCAAGATAAAAACTTGAAAATACCTGGGCCGAGTGGAGTCAAGTAGAAAGTCGACGAAGATAATCTTGTCAATGTTACTTAGGACCTATTGCAATATCCAGCTTGAATTGTTTCGATTACCTATAGCAATGTAAAGAGAAGAACGATGAAGAGAATCGACGATTAGAAGTAGGCCCAACCTGTAAAATGTCTACCTTGTTCAACTCTTATTTCTCTTCGATCATTGTTTGGACCCTACCCGAGGTAATCCTTCTTGGATATCGATTTGGAAAATTCCTCTTCGATCCTTCAGATTCTTATAGTAATTTGCTGAGTTGTCGATTTGGATAAAAATTTACTGTCGCCATGGCGCCTAAGCGCAAAAGAAAGGGGCAAGCTCTTGATCCCCCTTCTGATGGAATTAATTTGAGTAATCAGTTTGATTTGCTCACGGATGATGAGAATGATCCATCATCCAAGAAAAATTCTAGTAAACTTTCCCGGCTTAATGCCAAAAAGGAAAAGATTCACCATATTGTGATAACCACTTCCGAATTTTCATGCTCTTCGCATGGAACTTTTGAACTTCATGAAAGTTAAGTTTTCACTTCAAATTGAACGTCTTCTCAAGTATATTACTGAGAAGCAGCACAAATTTTTTACGTTGTCATGAAAGGACTGCCCAGTGGTGAATCCCTGGATCAGATCAAAAATGAACTGGCAAAATTACTTGGAGTTGTGCCACTCCAACTAATCAAAATGAAAATGAAATCCCGTCCTGGCGATTCGCGCAACGGGATTTCTAATGATTTTTATTTAGTTCACTTCAAGTCTGGTGAGCTGCTTAACAACCTTAAGGCCTTAGAAAAAGCTAGCCTTATGCTCCACGTCCGAGTGAAGTGGGAACACTTCAGGAAGACTGTGCACCCAGTGCCGTAAGTGCCAGGGATGGGGTCACGGAACTAAAAATTGCTACATGCCAGCTAAATGCATGAATTGTGGTGATTCCTCTCACGCAAAGGACGACTGTCCTGTGAAGGAAGATCCTAAGAAATTTAAATGTTCAAATTGTGGTGAAAACCACAAATCCAATTTTTGGGAATGTAAGACTCGCAAAGCGATCCTACAATCTCGTTCTAAGTGACAGGTAGGAAACGCTCCACGTTTCCGACCAGGTACAAATTCCTCTGCTGTTAACAACGGTCAACGAGGAACAGCGGGGGGGAGGGTTACCCCTTACCATCCCTCTCCAAAGGGGGAGTTTGGTGAAGAGAGATGAAAAAAAACGATTTGTACCTTCCTTAAAAGTTGTCCTAGCTCTATCTATCGTATAAAAATTACCACTTTAGTCTGCTATTTGAAATTAGCATCTTCAACTACGTAAATCGTTGACTTCACGCAGAAGTAATACTAAACATATAGTCAAAGTGCTTCCAAAGCTATTTGTATGTGATACATTTTCAAAAGTCTTTCAAGGATGATTAAGAACTTTAAATAGTTCAAAGTAAATTTTAAGAGTATTTTAAAGGATTCTAGGGATGACACCAATATATATACTGCCGGAACTATCAACTCTTTACTCTCATCTTCTTATCTACGCATTGCGCGGATCCAGCGACGGGAGGAGAGACTCAGGCGGCGGTTCAACACACGCCGACTGAAGATCCAGCTTTGAAAAGGTCTTTTGTTGAAGAACTTGAGACTTGAGCTGCGGACGTTCCAGAAGGTGGCAGCGTAGAAGAACAATGGACGGCCATCAAGAATACCTTTATAGAAACAAGCGAGAACAACTTGGGTGAGCTGCGCACCCAGAGGAAAGAGTGGATCACAGATGAAACCTGGCGGAAGATTGAGGAGCGTAGAGAAGCAAAAGCCGTGATAGAGCGGGCGAGAACCAGAGGAACCAAGAACGAAGCCCGTCAACGGTACTCGGCTCTAGAGAAGGAAGTCAAGCGCTCTTGCAGACAGGACAAGAGAGCGTGGGTGAACTCCCTGGCTGACGAAGGGGAGAAAGCCGCAAACACTGGCGATATACGCCTCCTCTACGATATCTCACGACGCCGAGCATGGATGAACCCGAGGATGCCAGTGAAGGACACGACTGGACAATTGCTAACCGACCCCACTGACCAGCTGAAACGATGGTTTAAGCACTTCGAACAACTTCTTCAAGTTTCGACGGCCAACCAGCCATCAACATCTCGGCATGATCCGCCTAGGGTGCGGCGCATCACTCGCGTCAATTCCGAGGCCCCATTACTGCAGGAGATTGAAGCAGCTATCCGAAGCATGAAATCCGACAAGGCTCCAGGGGTCGATCGCATATCAGCAGAGATGCTCAAAGCTGATCTCATGCTATTCGCACAAATGTTGCATCAACTATTCTGTAATATCTGGGACACCGCGACTTTTCCGGCCGACTGGATGCAGGGCATCTTAGTGAAGGTCCCAAAGAAGGGGGATCTGACTGTGTGCGACAATTGACGAGACATCATGTTACTGTGTATTGTTCTCAAAGTTCTGTGCAAAGTTATCCTGAATCGGATACAGGAGAAGATCGACGCGAATCTCCGACGGCAGCAGGCAGGATTCCGTGCCGGAAGATCTTGTGTGGACCATATTGTCACGCTCCGCATCATCCTGGAGCAGGTCAATGAATTCCAAGAGTCGCTTTATTTGGTATTCATTGACTACGAAAAAGCTTTCAACCGTCTCAACCACGAGAATCTGTGGGGCGCCCTGAGACACAAGGGAGTCCCGGATGAAATCGTCAACCTCATCGAAGCGCAGTATGAGGCTTTCACGTGCAGAGTTCTGCATAACGGAGTCTTGTCCGACCCTATCCGGGTAGTCGCTGGTGTGAGACAAGGATGTATACTATCACCGCTACTGTTTCTCATCGTAATCGACGAGATCATGGTGGCATGACAATTGACCGTGTACCGAACCGTGGGCTGCTTTGGCAGCCTATCACCATGGAGCATCTCAACGACTTCGATTTGGCTGATGATGTTGCTCTACTAGCACAACAGCGCTCTGATATGCAGAGTAAGCTCAATGATCTAGCCGAACGCTCCTCTGCGGCGGGTCTCACCATCAACGTCAACAAGACCAAATTGTTGGATATAAACACGGGCAACCCTTCCAACTTTACGGTAGCGTGGCAAGCAGTGGAGAAGGTCGAAAGTTTCCAATATCTTGGCAGCCAAATAGCGTCGGACGGCGGGACCAAGAGCGACATAGGTGCACGAATCAAGAAGGCTAGGGCTGCCTTTGCGAGTTTACGAAACGTATGGAGATCCAACCAGATAAGTCAACGCACCAAAATCCGAATTTTCAACTCGAACGTGAAATCTGTGTTGTTATACCGTTATACGCCAGCGGAAAACACTCAAAAACTGCAGGTCTTCATCAACCGATGCCTGCGGTATACAATTCGTGCCTTGTGGCCTCACAACTGGATCTCGAATGCCGAACTCCATCGTCGATGTCATCAGAAGCCGATAGCAACAGAAATTCGAGAGCGAAAGTGGAGGTGGGTCGGCCACACACTTCGACGGGGCGGAAACGAAATCTGCAAGCAAGCGCTGGATTGGAATCCGGCAGGACATCGCAGCAGAGGCAGACCCAGGGGCTCATGGCGGCGGAGCCTCAATAAGGAAATTAAGCAAGTCGTTAGGAATCTGACTTGGGCCTAGGTCAAGGCAAAAGCGAGCAGCCGCCCAGGATGGAAGTCTTTGACGTTGGCCCTTTGCACCGCTGGTGGTGCACAGGACCCTTAAGACCCCAAATTTTTCACAGTTGCTTAGGATCCAAAATGGAACGAAAAAAGGTTTGTTCTCGCTTGATGAGGTCAAGTTGCGTTTTGCACCCTAATGATAACCCATAAACAATGAGGTAAAGTTCTATGCAAATCCGAAAAGGTCGAGTCTGATCAATTCGTTAGTTGGCCTGCAACTGCTCTACTGCATCTGCATTTTGCAATCACATCAATATTTGATTGAGCTTGAATTGCGTTGATCGATTTAAACATTGTTTTTGCTGTGAATTCTTACGTCAATAATGTGGTCACAACTCAGGCACAGCTCCATTTTTTTGTTATTTTCCTTTTTATCGTTCTCCCTTAAGGGGCTGTTCAGTTTAGGGGGGGTGACAATTATCCACGGCCCATACACATTTCAAAAATTGTCTACGCAGGGGGAAGAGGGGGAAAGTCAAGAATCAAAAAAAAAGAGTCTACGTAGTTAATGAACAGCCCCCAAATTACTAATTAATCAAGCCCATTCATTTTTCAGATCCTCGCCATTACGTTGCAAGATTTCATAATGGTTTACATGGGTTCATCTTCGTTACGGGAATACCAACCGATTGTTCTTCCGCCACAGCATACATATATATAAACTCGGTTTTGGGATTTTCCCCGATGTGATTCACAAAAACTTGCCAAACTTGCTCTTTTGCTGCTCCTACTGCGCAATCAAGAGAATTCCCATCAAATATACCTACGATGCGATGTGATAAACATCCGGCTCTCGATCGCCCATAGCACACTTAAACGAAGAAAGTTTACCTTCCATCGAATCATTCCTCACGTTTTAGTTGGGCAGACAAGCGAGCGCTCCTGTGTGTTTTATAAACTTGCTGCTCTGCACAGTCGGCGATCACGCGTTTATTATCTAGCAGTAAGTTACCTAGTTGCCGATCGTTTCGCTTCGTTACCTTTGGCGGTTGTTTTCCATTTTCAGTAGCAAGGGTTTTCATTGTCTGTTGCAAAGGATTTTCTCTTTTCAAATCAACGTCCGTGCAATTGCAGATTCCGGACAATGTGAGGGAAAAGTGTGAAGTTTTGATTTTGGGTGGGTTGGGTCTGATCTGAATGAATAATTTATGACCTCTGTTTAATGTCTATCTCGTCCCGCAGAGTTCGTGTTCCGCCACGCAAGGGTGCGCTCAAGGTACAGCTGAAAGGTATCTTCGTCGGAGCACGCGTCGTACGAGGCCCGGACTGGGAATGGAATAACCAGGACGGAGGACCGAACAAAACTGGACGTGTTATGGAAATTCGTGGATGGGATAACGAATCCTGTCGAAGTGTAGCAAACGTATCTTGGCAATCCGGATCGACAAACGTGTATCGGCTGGGACACAAGGGGAACGTGGATCTACGCTACGTACAGGCAGCTGTCGGAGGATATTACTACAAAGAGCATATGCCGGTATTGGGTAAGTGATGCGGTCGGTTAGATGATTCAAAAGGAAGATGTTGTCATACGAATTATTTTGTAGGTCAACCGGAAGAGCAGCAACCGGTTTCACCTCCGGTGCGCTCACATTTCAACGTTGGAGATCGCGTCCAGGTGGCCATCCCGGAAGAAAGACTCATGGTTTTGCAGCAAGGGCACGGTGGCTGGAATCCGCGGATGGCCGAATATCTGTCGAAGATTGGCATTGTACATAGGATCACGGACAAGGGTGATATTCGGGTACAGTATGAGGGTTGTGCCAACCGGTGGACGTTCCATCCGGCGGCCCTCATCAAGATCTATAGTTTTAATGTAGGAGACATTGTTACCTTCATCACGGATGCTGCCAAAATGCAGCAACTGCAAAAGGGTCACGGCGAATGGGTGGAGACTATGCATAACGTGCTGGGGAAGTCGGGTAAGGTGATCAAAATATACGGGGACGGTGACTTGAGGGTCCAGCAATTGGATGATGATTTGGCTTGGACGGTGAACCCCAAATGTGTCAAATTGGAACGTTCGTTGATATCGCAGGCGACGGCAACCGAACGTTCGAACAGCATGATGGACCTGAGTAATCAGCGCACGAACGAGCATCACATAACACCTCTGTCGGGACTGTCGGGAACATCAGCTGCCGATCGGCTTGTCCGAGAAGCCGCTCAAGGAAACATGGACTTTGTGCAAAATTATCTTAGGTAAAAGCATAACTTGGTGAGAAACATTTGTCATACTAACGAATAACATTATTTCGCCTTTCTTTCAGTGCCAATCCGGAGGAGGTGGACTGCGTTAGCGGGGGCAAAACTTGCCTTCAAGTAGCTGCCCACCAGGGCCATGTGGATCTGGTCAAGCATCTGCTGGCACTCGGTTCCAATGTGAACGTAGTGGACAAGGAAGGTGATTCTACGTTGCACTACGCAGCATTCGGAAACCAGCCGGAGATCATGCGCATCCTACTGCAACATAATGCCAACATCGATGTGCTGAATTCGTCGCACTGTTCAGCATTGCACATCTCAGCACACAAGAAACCGCCGCACTGTGTCAAAGTTTTGCTGGAGTTTGGAGCGAATGTAAATGTGCAGGATGCTTATGGGGACACGGCGCTGCATGATGCTATTGGGAAAGAGAATACCGAAGTTGTGGAACTGTTGTGTGCTTGTTCTACGCTGGACTTGACCATAAGAAACAAGCGAGGGTTTAATGCATTACATCATGCTTCACTGAAGGGAAATGTCCACGCTGCCAGAAACATTATCCGGCTGGCGCGGCAATTGGTAAATGTCCGGAAAGATGATGGATTTTCTGCTCTGCACTTGGCTGCTTTGAATGGACATTCGAAGGTGGTGGAAGTTCTGGTCAAGGAAGGACAGGCGGATATCGATATTAGAAACAATAGAAGACAGACGCCTTTCTTGCTGGCCGTTTCCCAGGGTCACACGGCTGCCATCGAGAAGCTAGTTGAGTTGAAATGCAACATTGCTGCCAAGGATGAAGACGGCGATAATGCTATGCATCTGTGCATCATCAAGAAAGCCAATCTGGTGCAGGATGTTACAGCAACGGATTCGCCGAAAATTTTTGAGATGTTCCAGTCGCTGGCAGCGGTGGTCATTGAGAATCGGCTGATGTACGCACTGTTGTGTTTTCTGGCGAAAGAAAGTTGTCCGCTTGATGTGAACTACAAAGGCGCGAGGGTGTTGGATTGGATCCCTAGTCAACAGGTCAAGGATATTATTATTGGATATGAGAGAGCTAGGATCGCTAAAGAGAAGGCAGCAGCTGCTGGTCCTCCTGCTACGGATCGATCGCTGAATAATTCTCGCGAGGAAGATGACGATTCGCCGCCAATCATTCACGTACAGTCCAACTTGGAAGTAATGAGCTTGGCCAGTAACAATCTGGATGAAACTGAGGTCAATAATTCCGCAGTACTGCAGGAGGGAGCAGCAAGCCCAGGCACTAGCGGTTTATGTCAGTCTAATCCTCCGACACCTGCTCGTAGGAATCGAGGACATAATCGAGAGGCTGCCGGTGCAACACCACCACCCATTCCGAGTCATCATCCGAATGTAACAGCACAAGAAGAAGATTCTAAACGAATGAACATCGAACCAATAGCACCCAGCGAAGCCTCCGGTCCCAGTGTAACCCCTTTAGATAGCCCAGCACGTTTCCAATCACCAAATCGAGCCTTATCGCCCACCATGGCGGTTACACCGGAGTCCGGCGGCGGTGGCAACTGCGGCAGCAGTTCATCAAAGCATATCAGCCGACGACAGTACTCGGACAAAAATCCAACCGCTTCCCCGGTGGCAGTCCTTTCTACCAGCCCGTCAGTCATAACCAATCTTCCTCAGGAATGTATCGTGTGTAATGAAGTCATGATGTTAATCATCTTCGATCCCTGTCAGCATCAAATCTCGTGTGAAGAATGTGGCATCCGTATGAAAAAGTGTCTATCCTGCGGTGTGTACATTGAGAGGCGTGTTACCGTTACTGGAAAACAGTTGTTCAACCCCAAGGACAATCGGCAGCCTTCCGCCGACCGACTCCGCTACCTCGAAAGTAAAATAATGGAAATCGAAGAAACGCATTGCTGCAGCATCTGCATGGAACGCCGTCGCAATGTTGTCTTTCTCTGCGGACACGGAGCCTGTTCAAAGTGCGCCGAAACGCTCAAAATTTGTCACATGTGTCGCAAAACGATCACTAGAAAAATCAATCTCTACTAAAGTGTTTTTACTCTTCTCGCGAGCTGTTTCCCGGTTGAGCCGCGAAGTTACCAAAAATTGTGAAATTTTTATTACTTCCTAATCTTCCCTCCTTTCGAAACTCTGTGCTTCTGTAAATGTCACCTCTGGGTACTAGTGCGAAACATATACTCTTCGGCTTTCTCACTACTCGAAGTGATTCCTATAACGTCGCCCATGTCAGAGTGTTGAATAACTCTTCTTTTCTATTAATAGATAGTATTTTCTTTATTGAAAAGTTTCCTTTCTCGCTACCAAAAAGTAAAACGAATCACCACTAATCTAAGTGTAAATAAGCTAATCTTTAAATAAAGCAAATATGTGTATTTATGTGCATGTTCTTCCAAAAATGCTCTAACCATTATAAAGGCCAATGTAAAGAAACAAAAATATGGGAGGCTCATTTTAGTGGAAATAAACGAATGAATATTGTACCCATACCTTTTATTACTCATCGATTTCGTCACCATTGACTGACTTGCATACAAGCTGGAATGCCCAGCATCATTCATTCATCTATTACCAACCACAACGATCACATACACGATAAGCAAACATTTGCACCCAATGCAACATCGCCCCATAACTGCACGTTGTACGCACTGTGTTCTACTTTCTTCTCTCAAACTTTCCTATCTTATTTAACCGTCTTAAATATTGATTTTGTTGAAGAACTCCGTATAAAATCCACGTTCGTTCACACATAATTTACACACCGTTTTTGGCTTGCATACAAATGAAGGAAACGTTTTTATAGACATATTAACCAGCGCGAATGAGCAAAACGAACAACATAGTCTACTTTGAATATTATTGAAATTTTTAATATATATACTTGTATATCAAAGAATAAGAGAAGAAAAAAAATGTGAACCCATACCTGTATTCGATTGTTATTACTGATGAATGATAATGTGAAAAAGAAAGTTGTTTGTACGCACATAAGACAAAAAAGCATACACATATTAATAAACCGATATTTATTTCATTGTATTAAAAAATAAACACGTCATTCGTTTTCTTGCTGCATTGCATTACACACTATCAATCCGAATTCCTGCGTCTGCTACCTTAGTTTTACTTACTGCTATCAGCTATTGACGACACGGCGAAAGTTTACTGCTACAGTAGTATAATACTCGCTAGCTAGGTGTAGTGGAGATTGGTTGCGATAAGAAACTACTGACGAACTGTGACTTGCTTTACTTAGGAATAATCCGTTCATGTTAGTGATGAAGCTGTTTTGTTACCCCCTGCGAACGGTAGACAGATAGTTAAGTTTTCTGAGTACACGAACTTTTTTCCCAAGTTATTCGAGATTCTGGAAGATAATTTTTTTTTTCGTTATTACTCTCCCAACATTCAAAGCCGAGCATCAACATTAAAGCAAATTGAAAACCAGCTATGCTTTCAACATGAAATTGAAATCATAATCTGATTTCAGCTTACGATTAGTAGTTTAACACTTGTTTCTTCCAGCAATATCAAAAGATGTTCACTTTTAATCAAATTTATGGACGTTTTTTTATCACTATAAGAATCCATTTCATTCTTGAGTTCGTCCAAATACTCTGAAGATATGAAAGAAGATGAGCTGATCAGAAGCATTAATAACTGTTATATTATGTACATATAAATAAATAAATACTGTGATGTGATGTTTCACTGTTGGTTCGCACCATCGGCGCCGGACTCTACTCTTTTTGAAAATGGAGAGTGGCGATAACAAGTATCCCCTCCGGTGCGATGGTAACGATCCGATCTACATCGGGACTGTCATCACTGTTTATTGTTTATGGAATCACTATTTAAATTACTGCTCTGTTTTTGTTGCTTTTACGGTTTGTGTCGTGTAAGTTTTTTGATAAAAGTAATTATTTGTGATTTGATTCACTACTTGGGAGTCGCAAACGGCAAGCCAAGTGGATTCAAGCTGGAGTCTCAAACGAGGACAAATCTCTAGAACCGGATCTTTGGCATATACAGTACAAGAGCGAGATAAGGCGCTATAACCTTGGCATTCAAACTAGGTTAGCATTTGGCTTTTGGTGCTGATTTCTCCATTTTCGGAGCGCGCCCGCACGCGCTGACATTGACATTCGACAAAGGAAGTTTTTTTTGCAGACGCTGGTGTTGGATTGGTTAGATTGTGTGGGAGTGTTCTGATGCTTGAGGAGTTTTGCGTTTGAGGACGTTGTTTAACAGATGGTTGTTCTGTTAAATGTTTACCTAGAAATAGCCTGACTTTTGGTTCAAATACCAAAGTTCATCCACTGACACCAGGAGCTTAAATTAACTTTTATAGCAATTATGCTCCCAATAAATACTACTATTCAATTGCAACTGGAAGTGTTTGGTACGGGAAGGTCCACGGTTTTCTTTCTTTTCCTTGATCTCAAGTTGTGGAGTGCTTTCAGACACTTATTTCTGACATCGCTTGACTCCTTGAAATCCTCTCTGCGACACATGCTGCGCATTTGGCCTGGCCGTTGACAAGAAAAATGACGGATTCATGAAGTCATCATTTTCCAGGATGCTTAAAAGTATTGGCTGCGTTAATGTGAGATTAGATTAGATTAGATTAGATTAGAAAAGTAATTGTTTGTGATTTGTATTTAACCTTCCTAATGTATTAGGAAAAAGTTACACATTGTGCATTAGCGGATCAAAACAGACCCTAACTGTAGCTCGCTCCCAAAAATCCATGTTTGAAGCGATTCTATTGAGCTCAAATGAAAGATTAAGGTCCCTAGAATGGCACCATGCCCAGGATTTTTCTAAATAAGCTACCTGGCACCGGTTCCGATAGGGCACAAAAATACACTTCCAAAACCTCATCTACTGGTACCGTCCGACGGCTCAAAATTTATGATTTTTTACTCAGAAGTAAACAGACATCATGATATGGATCGTAAGGTGAATCCGGCCATATCTAGATACCGGAACCGGTTCCGGTAGGGCTAAAAACGACACATCCTAAATCTCATGTACTGGTATCGTCTGATGCCTCAAAATTTATGATTTTTCATTCAAAAGTCTATAGACTTCTCTGACGTTTGTGAATTGCACAAGTATTAGTGCAGAACTTTGGGTAAATTCAAAGGTTTTCTTGCACTAATACTTATATTTTACTCCGAGTTCCACACTAGTACCACAAACGAAGTGACAGACGACTAACTGGCGAAGAAATCCATTAAAATAATGTGGTTCACTGTAATAGAATTTTCTTGGAAGCTTGTGCCATCATCCACTAGATGGGTTAGTTTTTTTGTTTTGATTTGAACAAAGTTGATTTTGTGTACAATGATTATTTGACAGTGTGCAAAGAGTGTATCATTTTGTCATTTTTTTATGCATTTCAGTTTTGAGTAGAGTGAAAGAGATAGAACCAAAACATTCTAATACATTTGGTGAAAATGCTAATACAATCCAGTAGTAGCACAAACGAAGTGACAGACGGAGCGGCTCGAAAACTTTGGTGACTAACCTGCTATTTCAATTTTTCAGTGTACCACATGGCAACACCACTACTACTGGATTGTATTAGCATTTTCACCAAATGTATTAGAATGTTTTGGTTCTATCTCTTTCACTCTACTCAAAACTGAAATGCATAAAAAAAATGACAAAATGATACACTCTTTGCACACTGTCAAATAATCATTGTACACAAAATCAACTTTGTTCAAATCAAAACAAAAAAACTAACCCATCTGGTGGATGATGGCACAAGCTTCCAAGAAAATTCTATTACAGTGAACCACATTATTTTAATGGATTTCTTCGCCAGTTAGTCGTCTGTCACTTCGTTTGTGGTAGTAGTGTTGCCATGTGGTACAATCAACAATCAATACGAAACTAACGATTTTAAATTGGCTCACCACTTTAGTAGCCTATTGGTCCCAAGCAAACGATTAACGTACCCTATTCTAGTTGAAATTCTATTACTACACTATGTTTGTTTTGATTCGCTATGAAAGTTTGACAGATAACATCAGGGGTGTGTGGATTCATGCAGAACATGCAGGGGTGAGTGAAATAGCTTGGGACTGCTTGGGACCGTTGTTCTGGTACTGAGTGAGCCAAAAATAATAATGATTTTCTTCGGGACCCAGTGGTCTTAGAGTTAACTCTATGGTAGTACCAACCGGTGAAAACTAACGATTTTGAATTGGCTCACTACTTGACTAGCCTATTGGTCCCAAGCAAACAGCATTCTAATCAAAATTCTAGTACTACACTATATTTGTTTTGATTCGCTATGAAAGTTTGACAGATAAAATGAGGGGTTCGTGGATTTTCCTATGTTTCGAGGGGTGCATCGATTTGCTTGGGACCGAAGAGTGTACCAGAGCTGGGCCAAAAATTTGAGTACGTTTCTTCGGGACCTTCTGGTCTTAGAGTTACCTCTATGGTAGTACCAACAATCAATAAGAAACTAACGATTTTAAATTGGCTCACCACTTTAGTAGCCTATTGGTCCCAAGCAAACGATTAACGTACCCTATTCTAGTTGAAATTCTATTACTACACTATGTTTGTTTTGATTCACTATGAAAGTTTGACAGATAACATCAGGGGTGTGTGGATTCATGCAGAACATGCAGGGGTGAGTGAAATAGCTTGGGACTGTTTGGGACCGTTGTTCTGGTACTGAGTGAGCCAAAAATAATAATGATTTTCTTCGGGACCCAGTGGTCTTAGAGTTACCTCTATGGTAATACTTTGCACACAGTTGACGAAACATAGTTCTTTTTGAAGCAGTAGATATGCAGGACATAAATCGTGTACTAACTCTTTTGACAGATAGTGGCGCCTTTACTTACGTGTTGGACTTATTGACCACTTTGTCAAGCAGTTTTGGTGCGACTTTCTACCAACGATTTCACAAAACTGGACCAACTAATTTCTATTTTTTTGTGAAACGCACAAATGTTGGCTACTTTTCTCGAGGTTCTAGAAGAAAAAATCTCAAAATAATGTTTTATTTCAAAGTTCGAGTGGTAGTAAACGTCATTTTAACTGCTCAAATGAAGTGGTTAATTGAGTGGAGTGAACGCTGATCAGTTCTTCATCCGGGATTAAGAGTGGCCTCATTCACGGAATGCCCGATGATGTTAAACGGAGATACAAAGAGAAAATAAGTGCAATCAGTTCTATGGATCCATATTCCATTGAGACGAAAGCGGTGGACATTATATCAATGCAATGGTTACTACCGCCCATGTAATTCAGGAAAAGTCTAGAAGCCTACCCAAAATTTGAATCAGGATATGTTAGTTCCGTGGAAGGAATTCTTGTTAGTGATCTGTACACATCTGTTTGTTGCAAACAGAACAGTTTACAGGCATGATGATTCTTCGTAATAATTGCTTAAACAAGTGTAATCCTTGTTAGAAACAATCATACATTTGTTCCTGCTTAACTATATGTTTATTATGTATACAAAGGCTACAGTATCTTTCAAATCTGATGAGTAACGTCACCGCGATTTGGACTATTTATTAAAGTTTGTTCACCGCAGTGCAAGTTCATAACATTGACTGCATAAATCAGCATTGTAATGCAAATTAAATCTCGTCCAAAATTGCCTGCGATTATTTCAAAATGTCATCTCAAATCTTTTTTTGAAACTGCATTGGAGCAACCAATCCGTATGGGGCAGAAGGGCCATGCATTTTAAATGGAGTGGCATCGATTAAGCTTGTTTTGATTTATAATCAACAGCTGTTATTGTTTCTAAGCTATGGAATTTTATAGTATTATTCAAAAAAATAAACCATGTTTACTTTCAGTTGTAAATGAAAACTATTGTTGATGATATGTTATGCAGCTGGTTTTGCCAAATTTGGTGAAAACAAGCTTACCGAAGGCTTAAATGCACAATGAAGCAATTTCTTTGAATTTTTGAAAAATTTTATTCATAAACGCAACCACTCAGTCGACATGAACAAACACAGCTCGTTTGTGTTCTACATCACACATGCTGGATTAGGGTTGTCCAG